AGATACGTTTAAATTGGGTCAGGTTCGCACCAGATAGCGGTCAAGAATGCTATCTGGGACAGCCCTGCACTGATGAGAGCCAACAGCTCGAAACCGGTCTGCAGGTAGTCAGGCGTTCCTGAACCACTTAGGCGCAGCTCGGCGTTTAGAAAGGAAACACTTGTGATTTAACTCATCTATATGAATTATTGTATAGATTTCGGGAGGATGTAATCCAATTCTGCGTGACATATAGCCACGAGAGCAGTTGTTTTTCTCTTTTTGTGATTGTGTTAATTATTATATTTGCATTTTTTTAGTACCTACTGTTTTCATTTATTTTCACATTCATTATGTTTGAAAATGTACAACATACAACAGAATGCAATATATTGTAAAAATTCCATATACCAGTCTAGTCCAAATCATTTCCAGAAAACTCATTATGCTTTTTTTTTATCGCTTGGAGCTCACGAAAGGGAATCCCTATTATTATTATCATATTATCACCCCCAATGAAACATAAAAAAAACATCCCTGCCAAACAAGACGATCTCAAACTTTTTGGAAATTATCACATTTTCAGATATCACCCTGTAAGTCTTCATGTTGAAAAGGTGGAATGACAAAAAAGTACAGACGTTGTACTCAATGAAATGATCTATTAGAATCTTGAAAGAATTGAAAAATTGTTTGATTCAATCCAAAGTTATGATGGGTCTAAAAAGTTTAGCTTGTCTCACTTCTAATGTTGGCATTAATATGTATAGAATAGGGCTAATGTAATGTGGATATTTCAGTACAATCCTACTGTGGAGGTAAATTGACATTTCTATGTAGAATGTGGGAATATTTTTCTTAGTTGTTGAGCAATAAAGCACTAATGCCATAATTGTTGGAAATAATTCTTCCCCACTGCCATTTTTGTTTGGTGGTTCCTAATGCCATTTTATGAATGGTTACATTTTTTGATGTTGCTATGGTCTTTATAGATTTTACAGCAATAAAGATATTATTATTATAATGACAACAAAACCAAGAACAAAACAGAGCATGCATGCATGATCATTTTCATCTTGCTTACCATGAATAGGGATTGATTGATTCAAATCTTCCATGACCTCTGTAGTTTTTTCTAAAATAACTGTTTCCACATGATCCTTCTCATTACAGTGGACATCTGATTTCTCATCAGTATCTTTGAATTCATCTTCAAGTTCAGCTAATAACTGATTAATTGCAGTGTCATCTAAGTTTAAGTCATCTACAAATCCAACAGTGTTGCATGCTTCAACAGAGTCATCTGAATTTTCTTGCTTAGCTGTATCATGATCATTTTTCCCAACTTCAGCTTCAGCCACAGAGTCTTTCACTTCAAAATGAATAATTTCAACACCAATGTCCTCAACCACCTCTGTTCCTTTTTTGTTGGAATCAGGTACTACAACTATTTCACTTTCTGTATTGTGTTTGATAGATTGATCACTATTTGGTTCTCTTTCATCTATACTGTTGTCAAATGTATGTAGAATATGTTCTTCATTACTTATGCTTTCCTTCTCAATATCCTCTTTGTTGCCATGATTTACATAATATTCTGGGCTAACTGTCTCTGTCTCATCAAGCAGTTCTTTATTGATATTTTTGATATTTTCAGCTTGCTCAACATTTATTATTTGAATATTTGCAAAATCACCAGTTCCATTATGTTTCTGAACATGAAGGTCATTTTCATTTAAATCAATTTTTTCAGTGATTTTACTGCCTGGTTCAGTAGAACACTTTTCAGAATGTTGAGGAATATTGACAGTATCTTTTTCAGGCATTTTCTGGGTTTGACTTGGACTAGTTATATCGATATTGGTATTCAAATATTCATTCAAACTGTGGAATACATTGTTTATGGAGTGCATTGTACCATTATTTTGGGTGGAAGCAGATGTATTTCTCGTTGCATTATACTGGTCTGTGAATTCACTGTATTCAAAATCGTTGAGAACCTGGTCCAAATCAACAGCAAACTTGTCCATCTACAAACAAATTACAAAATAACAGTGGGGCCAGTGGGGGCATGTCTCTAGCCAATGGAATTTGTAATTATATATAATTACCTTGTTGCTATTCAGTTATTATCTGAATCATGTCATTTGCGTAGTAAGTTATTGAAAAATTATAATTTGCAACTTATTATTTATCAGATAATCAGATGTCAAGAAAGTGACAAATGTAAATAATAAAATAAATACAAAAAAACATCCTTAATCTGACAATAAGACAATTGACATTGACAACCATAAACAGGCACGAGCGCTTCGCGACAGTGGCGTATACTACATTCATCATTCTAGCTTTCAACATAGATAGATATCGATCATATATCTACTACTCATATATGAATCATAGCCATCGTCCACCGAATGCCGACGTAGGGAAAAAACTAATATGAAACTTTAGGTCCCTTTTTTATAATAGGCGATTGGCCATTTATAGAAATAGTACATATATGAGATAGATAGTTCAGTGATTTAACTATGTTATGTTATCTTCGGAAATACCAAGAATTCAAACTCTAATGTAAATATGTACTAGAGGTCTGCCCGCCAGCCGGTCCGAGCAAGTGAAAAAGAGTAAATGACAAAAAAAAGAACAAAATAATAACTTCAAAATATTCTATGAACACATACATAAAAAAATACATTGACAATGAAGGTGTTTCGTATGTGTTGACCTTGATTTTATTCTATGACTCATCTGTTCACATCATGCCATGAACAGAGAGAATTATGGAAAAAATCAACTTCACCAAGTTTACCAAGTAATTGAAATGTTTAGCGATATGGTGTGTGTCCTGATGTGCTCTTGTTTTGCCCAAACTTGATAATAAACAACGGGAATATTGGGAATCGCAATATGAGGTTCTTGTTATATCTAATAGATGTCACTGTACGAATTCTATTTCAAGGTTTGTAGCACTGCTGATTAGAAATTGGTGATAGAAACTCAATTATGAATTAATTGAACACTATCAAAAATAAACTCATATTTACACCATTTCTGTATTTTTTCGTCGTATGTATGAATGGAAATATGACGATATCAGCGCCTCTTACGGATTTCCTATGAATAAGGACCTCATGAGTTGCAACCTGTGATCAGTGATTAGGAACACTAAAAACGTTGTATTGAGTTCATTGAATTTCTCATACACATTTAGGGTGTGTTTTTCATTCTAACAATTTATCTTGCGTATGAATCGAAGAATCCATTAATGTGTTGTCGAGAATCCACTAGAATGTCAATTGAACTGTTTGTATCTCACGTCCATCTATCTATCCCAACAATGATGGAAGTAAGATATGGTGCGCGTATTCGGCCATTATTACGTATTGAAAATTTCAGAAAAATCACTCGACCGCCTACTATGATTTCTCTACGTCACAACGAGCGAGACGTTGATTCTACATTTTCCCGCTAGATGGTGATGCTGCTATTGTCGCTGTAACGAGTGGAAATAAAATAACAAATGGCATTTTAGGTACGCGAAACATATTTAACAGTGGGATTATTCAACTCTGAATTCGAAAAATCTGCGACAATTTCAAAATTGTCATAATTGTGCAATGTTGCCATCTATTAGAAGATCGACGGAACCATTGCTCTCGCTGTTCTCGCCTTGGTTCTCGATAGGTCGAGTAAAATTTCTAAACAAAAGCGTATATCCTACTTCCATCATTGATGGAAGCAAGATTGGTGTAATTACTGATGCGAAATTTTACTCGACCTCTCGAGGGAGCGAGAGCAATGGTTCCGTTGATCTTCTAATAGATGGCGGCATTGCACGATTATGACTTCTGTCAGTTTCGAAATATGTCGCAGATTTTTCGAAATCAGAGTTGTTTAATCCGACTGTTACATATGTTCCGCGTACCTAAAATGGCATTTGCCATTTTATTTCCACTCGTCACAGCAGCAATGGCAGCATTACCATCTAGCGGGAAAATGTAGAATCAACGTCTCGCTCGTTGTGACGTAGAGAAATCATAGTAAGCCGGTCGAGTGATTTTTCTGAAATTGTCAATACGTAATAATGGCCGAATACGCGCACCATATCCTACTTCCATCATTCTTCCATCATACGTTCATCCATTTACACCAATGCTCATCTGTTTTCTTCGGAGAAGTAGTTCAGAGCTGCTTGTAGAAAAAAATTACCTTCGGCCATGCTGGCCTTCAGGATAACATTATCACTACTAAGAGCTCATTCGAATTTACCGTAGGAAGGAAAAATAGTTATTTATTATACAAGGGAAAAAAGTAGTAGATTTTAGCTCCAGGTTGTGTTGTCTCCCGACGCGTAGCGGAGGGAGACAAAAAACCGTGAGCTAAAATCTAATATTTTTCCCGTGTATAATACACTATTTTTTTCTGTGACAGAAGGAAGGACGAATCAATATTGAGAAGATATTACCAAATATTACATTATTTCGAAATCTGAAAATTATCGATGTGAAATTTCAAGTTTTTAACAGTAGGGACACCTGCGTTTTATCATTCTTTTGAAGTAATCAAATATTTGATGTCACTTCTGTCAGTTCAATTCTGTGATTTGATTTTGAAAAATTGCGAATTCAGTAGTTGTTTAGTAATATACGAAACCGCGAAGTCGAATGGAAGATAAAATTACTTGCAGTTCTTTCTCGGAGACGGTATTATTGACTCATTTTCCGGAACTATAGCACAACAAAAGCCATTAACAGAGTATATATATATATGTGCATGATATATATCCGGGAAAAAAGTACTCACTTTTTTCCCACGGGAAAAAAGTAATTTATGAAAAGTGACATTTTATAACCTGCCAACAGAGATGAAATGCTAAACTTTTTTCCCGTCACAGAAAAAAATATCTTATTAGTGGAGCACATATATCTTAGTGAAGCGTTGAAAGCCAGAATGATGGATGTAGTGGGTGGTAACTGTCGAAAAGCACTCGTGACCTAACAGCTGATTCTCGGTCACCTGTTGTGTTGTCGTTGTTCCGTTCGTTGTTGTTTGATGTCAAATTCATCAACAATAACAATGATGAAAACGAAAAAAGTATGGAGCAGTTGAAAAACCTTTGAAATTTGGAGCTTTGTACCATTTTTTGCTAATTCAACGGCCAAATGTTTTTTCTTGGAATATAGTTTATATACAGATATCTTGGTATGTTCCCGTTCCATTCTTTCAAAGACACCAGAAAATTATATTTATCTACTTTACTAAAACAAACATTTTGGAAATGGCCATTCTACCCCCCGATCCTGTGTTTTGTTTCAAAGGAGATATGGGATATATTCACAACTTGAGTTTCTGCACTAGAGGGAACCAGTTTGTTTCTCACATATTAGCTGCTACTGAAAAGGGCATTGTATACTTCTGGGACCTGGAAGTGAGTTGCTTTTAGATTATCACTGTTTTTACTTAATTTTATACAAAATACAAGCTTATATTCAATAAGAAAAGTTTAAAGTCATCTCCACAACAACATGGAGATGACTTTGTGCTTTTCTCATTGAATATGAACCCTATCACTGCACTTTGAGCTACAATGGACTTCTACCAATGTTTTTACAAAATACAAGTTTTAAATTGACCAGTACTCATCTTATTATGCATATTGCTTGTTATATTTTAAATAGTTATTGATGGAACCTATACACACATTTGCTTAGCTACAAGTAATTACTAACTGGGATACTAAAAACTAGAGGCTCATAACTTTTTTTAGACAAACAGACTTCAACACAAACAAGAAATGGGTGGTTCCTTGCAGGCCATACATTCTATAGATTTTAGAATCATCACACAAGAAAAAACTGGCTCCATCAACTTGTGGTCAGTAAATGGTAGCAGCTATGAGATAACAGATACCACCAAATGTACTAGTGGCTACTGCAAGAGCATTTTAGTGAATGAATCTCTAATTGTTTCTGATGAAAAAGGTACAGTAGAGATTTTGGATATAAATAATCTGGAAAAAATTGGTGTTTTGAAACCTGATATATCAGCACATGGGCATATAATGGCACTGGAGAAAGTGATGATTGATGATAAAGTTTACATAATGGCTGGATATGAAACTGGTGAGTGGAATGATTGTGTTTTAAAATATGATGGAACTTTGGACCTAATTAGTTAGTCTCACTGTGTATTTATTATGCCCCTGTGCACTTCTTTCTACATAACTTCATATTTTGACCCGTTTTGACCCATAGAAATTTTGAGTAACAAAGGAATGAATATTGCTAGCGTGTATACAAAGAATTTTGTAGGAATTGGAAATCCAACATAATACCTGTCACATATCAGTTAATTCCGAGGTTAATTCACAATGGGGAAGTTTTGCATTTCATTATTTTGTAATATTTTCATAGGCTCCTATTTTTCACTTATATGCAATGTGACCCATGTATGGCCCCTGCAGACCTAAAAAATCAATAATTTTCAACTGATTCATATTTTTTTTGTATTTCAACAGCAAGAGTATCAGAAGGTCTATGTTCACACAAATATGCAAAATATAATTCCAATATTCAGGGCATATTACCTATTATGTTTTTTATGTTATAAATTACAAAATTTCATAAGCCATTTGTTTCAAGAAGAAATGGATTCCACCTCTGGATTTAGTTCCTTCAATTGGATTGAAAGCAAAATTACATTGATTATTTCCTTCCTATGATTTTGAACCAATCAAAATGTTCAAATGAGTTGAGCTACCTTGTATAATTTCCCATGTAGTGGATATACATAGAGTATCTCCACCAATCAGGCTTAGTGGACTATTTTTCTTATTTCTCAAATTGATTCATCACTGGAATACCTTTCAATTTCATTATTTCTTCAGAGTTTTTCTAAATTCATCAATAATGCCATGGTCATTTTTCTAAGGGCTAGAAAATTACCGTGAGTAAAAATTGATCACATATATGATTTCGTAAGTAGAGGCAGACCATAGCATAGTTGCCATATGTTGAAATACAATTGGGAACTTCAGAAATATTAGTTATTCAATAATTCATAAATTCTCAATTATGTATTGGTAATATTCCTAATTATCAATAAGAAATCAATTGCCTCAAAATGTTCCCTCATGTGTAATGGCTTATTGCCTTTGATACATTTGTGTAAACAATAATTACTATATTAATTCACACAAGAAGATATTTGAACCACTGAACGTGACAACACGGCGATTTGGAAAGGAGAGACGCTTATGTGAAGTTGGCACCGACTTTTTTGAAAAACTGAATTTTTATCGAAGTTCTGGGTAGATACGATAGAGTTCTGGTGTTCCTGACAAAAATTTCAATAGTTCTGGTTAATTAGCCGAAAAACGAAATTGTGAGTGCTAATTTCACGCCGCGCCGCTTTTTTCACAGAAAAGAATTCTGATGAGAAATTTCGACGTATTTGAAAGAGTTCTGGAGTTCCTGATATATTCCAACGATAGTTCCGGCGAAATAACAAAGTTATTCATATTTTTAATTTTCATTTCATACGCTCATGTAGCATCCACCACTTTCTAAAGTTCGCATCAGAGTTCTGGGTAGCACTAGTCGAGTTCCACATACTATCTAGGTAACTTTTCTCTCAAAAATCGAAACTTCAGTTTTCTTTGAAAGGTTTGGAAAGGAGAGACAATAGAGGAGTTCTGATCGGAGTTCTCGATAGCACCAGTCGAGTTCTACATACTATCTTGATAAATTTCTCTCTAAAATCAAAACTTTAGTTTTTATAAGCAGAAAAGTGGGACCAATTGAAAAAAAAATATGATTTGTGAACGATTTGGAAAGGAGAGACAATAAAAAAAATTATCAAGACAGAACTCCTCTATTGTCTCTCCTTTCCAAATCTTTCACAAAACTTTTTTTCCAGTCGGTCCCTTGTTTTCGCTTATGAAAACTAAAGTTTCGATTTTAGAGAAAAAAGTAACCTAGATAGTATGTGGAACTCGACTGGTGCTACCCAGATCTCCGATCAGAACACCTCTATTGTCTCTCCTTTCCAAATCTTTCACAGAACTTTTTTTCCAGTCGGTCCCTTGTTTTCGCTTATGAAAACTAGCTTCGATTTTAGAGAAAAAAGCTACCAAGATAGTATGTGGAACTCGACTGGTGCTACCCAGAACTCCGATCCGAACTTTAGAAAGTGGTGGATGCTACATGAGCGTATGAATGTCCCTATTTAAAATAGGAATAACTTTGTTATTTCGCGGGAACAACCGTTGAAATATATCAGGAACTCCATAACTCTTTCAAATACGTCGAAATTTCTCATCAGAACTCTTTTCTGTGACAAAAACGGCGCCGCGTGAAGTTAGCACCCACAATTTTGTTTTTCGGTTATTTTCCACAATTAACCAGAACTATTGAAATTTTTTGTCAGGAACACCAAAACTCTATCGTATCTACCCAGAACTCCGATAAAAATTCAGTTTTTCAAAAAAGTCGGCGCCAACTTCACATAAGTGAATTGTGGGCAGTGTCTTGTCAGTTCTCTGCATTCAGTACATTTACTATATCGTTGCCCTTAAGACAGCCATTTTCTTGAGGTCTTCTACACGAGTGTGTTTAATTTGCGGACTGAAATAAAATGCTGCAGACTAGCTATTTTCAGCAAACAACTCGTTGTTTTCATCGAAAATCTGGATTCAGCTCATCCAACCACACTTTAAAAACATTCTGTTGTATTTTCTACCCTCCCTGGGGAGCACTTCACTAGAGTTGAAGTCAAATCACCTCAATTTTCACAAAATCCGATAAGTCTCATAGAAATAAATGGTGGAAAGTTTCAATTTTTTGCCAGCCCCTCTAGGGAGCACTTACTATAATGTGTTTTTTCATAGAATCATGCGGACAGCGTATTGTTGCAAGTTCAATCATCTCAATTGGTACAAAAATCGGTTTTTCCCATGAGAATATACACGATGGAGAGTTTTAAAAAAATTTCCCCAACCCCCCTGGGGAGCACTACTATAGGTATTTTGTTCATAATATCTTGCAGACTGGGACTGGTATATCAATTCACACAAATTTTGAAAATTTCTCATCCTGTATCAATCGATTTTGGTGTTGTGCACACTAGTCGAATTTGTAGTCGAATTTACTCCACAAAGCTATTTCATATTGATCATTCCGTGTATAAATAGTATTTGATGAAGTCATTGGTTATTTAAAATCGTCGCAAAAATATTTTTTTCAATAATGAAATTTAGCACATTCGAAAACCCAGCTTCGATGACGTCATGAACCGTACCAAAAGGCATCGTTATCTGAATTCTGGCTTGCGCATGAAAAGTAGGATCACATATTTCGACGCTGTCAGATTTGTAACTAGTAATCACCTTATGAGAATCAATATGACCAATGACAACAACATTCACATGTTTATTGAATAATTTATCGACTGTATTATATATTATTGTATTCACATGCACAAGAGAATCGACCTGGTTCCTAATAACGATTTATTGAAAACATATACTTGCAAGATGCTTCAGTACTGATGAAAATATCCTAGTATTCCTAAAAATAATCGAGATTTTATTTATACCCAAATTATTTTGTGGAACTGGCAACTCCGTAATGCGTCTAGTTTCCAGGAATACAAAAAGAGAAGAAGAAGACGAACTACATTGTCAACCTAATTCCTAAATCCTTATGGGTTGCGTGCAAGATCTGTCTCATGACCGACCCTGGAGGCAAAACATTGACACACAACCTCACTTTTCTTATGTTTACAAAAGATTGAAATATATTTTCACAATTTGGCATACGAATCGTGTCTCTCTGCTATTCATGAATTCAAGAATGCCATCACATTGTGCTGTTGTAAAATGCACAAAAAATGCAGCGAGAGACGAAGTAATCCGATATTTCAGGTTGATACATTATGATTTAAAAGTACTCTATATATAGTAAATCACATATACTTTTCATTTTGAAATTCTGTCATTTCTCATTGGAATTCTTTCTGCAATAGGAGCTAATAGAAATACTCGTGAAATTTCTAAAAGAATCCGATAACAATAATAGATTGGATTCATGCAATCAAACGGGAGGGCTGGTCTGATATGCTGACGAAATATGATCGTATGTGTAGCAGTAGCTTCTATTGCAGAAGTGGCACAGGAAATTCTAATGAGAAATTACAGAATTTCATAATGAAAACTATGTGAGATCTCTATTTACCTGAAAAATCATATTCCTTCGTCTTCCGCTGCATTTTTTGTGCATTTTGATAAATAGCCCGAAAAACACGATTCGTATGCCAAAATATTTCAATTCTTTGATTTCTCTGTAAATAAATAAGAAAAGTGAGTTCGTATTTCAATGTTTTACAGAAGAGTGAGGTTGTGTTTCGATGTTTTACCTCCAGGGTCGGTCATCGTAAACGCGACCTATAGTCAAGATGCGAATATTCAAAAATATTCCTCTTATCATCTGATTTTCCGAAAATAGCTGGTTCGCAGCATTTTATTTTAGTCTGCAAATTATACACACCCCTTTTACACAACGAAAAATAAGTGACAAAAATTCTAGAATGTAATCCATTTCAGGCGACATCATATTGTGGGACTTGAACACTTTCAAACCTTGTGGTCACTTGAAACTACATGAACAAATAACTTCGCTCACTTTCGATCCGTGTACAAGAAGAGGGGTATGTGGAAATTCCTCAAATGCCCTACAGATGTTCACCATTGACAAAGATTTCAATATGTCTTTGAAGTTGGAGCTGTCGCTTACTAATGAAGGCTGCAACATTGTCAAATTGCGTCCGGATAAAAAAATTTTAGTATCTGGAGGCTGGGATGGAAGACTGAGAATGTTCTCTTGGAAGACTCTAAGGATTTTAGCTGTACTGGCAGAACATAAAGGACCCATAACAGATGTACAATTTTCACCACATGTGGTGAAATATTGGAATTCGAATATCATGGCAGCCAGTGGAGCTGATGGGATCATTAGTCTGTGGAGTTTGTACAATTGAATTTTGTGATTTTATTGTTTTTTTTTACATTATTAAGCTGTAAAAAGTTATTACCAGACTTATTGCTTTGAGAAGTATACCTAATTGCAATTTTGATGATTGATTTCAATTTTATTTTTGAAGGTAACTCTTTTTGAAGGCTCTTTGAAAGATCATTATCGTGTCCAGTGTGGCCAGCCATTTTAAAACCCCACAGTAGTCGGAAGGCGGTCCACCAGCTCTTTTGCTTCATTTCAGTAATTATACCATTTGTGTTGCTTACTCATGGCTATTTTGTATGGTGATAATTCGCTCATTCTCCTACTACCTTTATCTTCGTTTAGCTGGAGTTGACTCCCCATTTTATGCGGTGTGCCGATTAATGGCTGTATAACTAGCTGATGTTTCTTTCTCGCGCTGTTATTCCAACCTTCTCTGACGTCGTAATTCTTATACAGTACTCGTGTAGTCTCCAGCAAAGTGGTGTTTTTCCTTTTATCTTGATCCTCAATAGATCTTGGCATATGTTTCATAAAGACCAAATCGTATAATCCAGTTGTTGCTGGAAACGTTAGTTTCCTCTTATTAACGTGCCATAATTCGATTATTCGATCTGCAGGAAATCGGATTTCCATATTACCAATTTTCAATTCCTCTGTTTTGGAATCGACGTGAAAGAAATATGTTGTAACATAAATTTTCAAATGCTCCTTTATTTTTTCTTGTAAGTTGCTCGCGGTTGTTCCATCTACAGAAGGATATATAGTATGGTATTACTGCTAGAAATTTGAGACGAATATGGTGGTTGGGTTTCCAATAGAGTTGTATACTTAGATCCCTCGTCATGAGGCTATGATGGTAGCGATTGAAAATTATTGCTAAAATTCCCAGACTCCCCATGTTGCTTGGCTACTGCCGGCATTGCTGCCGCTGTGATAACTTTCAATGGCCTTGTCAGCGGCTCATAAGCTTTTTCTAACGTCATTTGATTACTGCATGATGAGTTCGCTCTTATTGATACTTTTGAATTTATTCCTTACCGCATCGGTTGCTTCAACGACTTGGCGTTTGAGCTTCATTTCTGAAGCAATTTCACTACTAGGTGTGCTCATTGTGCTATCCTAAGGTTGAATGAAGCACATGCAGTTGTCGTTTCAGGGGTATATGAAGCAGCTGAACCCTTTCCAGTAGCGACTCTCATGAATTTCATTATCCTTATCTATTACAAGAAACCCGTATTCATCTGTCCAACTTTGAGCACGCATTTCTTGAAATTGCTTGAATGTTACCTCTACCATCTACGTGATCGGAATAAATAATGTGGTGTAGATTCATATCATCTTGCTTAAACATGTTTATGAAGTTGGAATTATCGCGAATCAATTGCTTTGGCACTGTCGAATACGTTTGGGCTAGATAAACGCAATCCACATTTTTATGGCGCCCCATTGAGAAATATGATCTGATTACATCCTGTTTTACACATATCACATTGTCGAATATGAAAATACTGTGTGGTTTCGCATCTTCCGGTTCAACAGTGTTCACATTATTACTATATTATGTATAAAACCCTAGTCCCTTTATCGGTTCCAATACTTTCCGCAAGTACTCATACTTGGGTTGATAAAACGATTTTGAATTCGCGAAAATCAGGAACCAATAGATGGCTCTATTAAACGTCAAATCAACGTCAAATTTCCAACTGAGTATGAACAACAAAAACATTGCCGTATGAACTCATTGCAAATTGGTTATTTCCAAATCATTTTGCAAAATAGTAAATAATAAGTTGACTTCCGGAAATACGAACAAGGTTTCCAGTATGGAGAAAATTACTTTTTGTGCAGAGAAATTGCCATTTTGATGTGGACAATGGTGGTATTCATCATTGATATCACACTACATTCCCACACTTGCATGGACTGGAATGGAACCATACAAGCAATCAGCTATTACAACAATATGGTATATAGGTATGAAGAAATAATTGAATTCATCAAGAAATATCACTGGCTTTTATGAAGGAGATGGAATTCTAGTGAAGGGGTTGGAAAAGAAGATGTGGTTGGAGAGGCTGCTCAGAATGAACAATATCATCGATTTACATAAACAAGGATCTCCAGCAATTGAGGACTTGAAGTTATTCTCAAGATCGAATCATTGCAACCAACATTTATACAGTGATTCTAATTGTGCTTCAGAAAATGTATATTATATTATTATGAGGTAGGTACTGGTTTCTTCATTGTAAACAATAAAAGTCCATGCAATAATTCGAGTTTTTCCATCAGGGAGAAATGAGGGTCTGGAATATACACTTCAACAAATAAATTATTTTCCAATAAAACACATATTTATGAAATTCAAAACAATGGTCGCCATATTTGTTGTTCATACTCGCAAGACTTGTACAGTTAGCCACCAGAGGCCGCACACTTCGTGATTTTCGCGAATTGAAATAAACCGTGGCAAATCGTAAACCATTATCGTTGATGGTGAGGAGAGATATCATAAAATTCTATAATGAGACTGCGCGAATAATATTAGGTAGTAGGGTTCCATGCCGACGTTGTGTATTCATATCATTTCCTAACCCAACTTTTTCATCGAAGTTTTCAACTCGTAATGTTTCTTGCTGTCAAATGTTATATAATGAATCGCAAACTTTGCGAATGTCATTTATATTATGAAGCTGAAGCGATACACATCGACAAGCAATAACAGTAAAAACAGTTGTCGATGAAAAAGAAGTGGCAGAGGAAATAATCGTTGATCTGTTAATTAATAAATCACCGGTCGAATTACACATTCCCGGTGGTTATCCAGTATTGTGGTCCTGGAACAAAGTTACAAAAACGATTATCTCGGGGTTATGATAGCTATTAACTAATTAGATAGGGCCTCTAAGGAACACGATATCGCATATTCCAAGCATTCGAACGATTTATCTGCAATTCATCCTGCCGATAAGGAATTGGAAGAATCCGCGTGGAAACGGGTTAAATCCAAGGACGCATCTGCAGGAGAGAGAGCCGCATCTTGGTTAGTTACTAATATAATGAAGGGAAAGAGGCGTTTTGGTATGGGGTGCAGTAGCGGAGTGAAGAAACGTCGAGTGGAAGAAGAATACGACCAAGCGTGGAAGAAAAAATGCTTTTGGGCCCGGCATAGTGCACAAAGTTCGCAATATGTTGCGACAAATGGGTAAGACTTCTCTTATGGCGATTGGAGCTGCTAGAAAATTCGTCAAGATGGCTGGTGGAATATCCATTATACCTTGCATTATACCAATCCCTGAAGTTGGAGGTATTCTTCCACTCATACCCATTTTCGCGAGGAGTTTGGCTGCAGGTGGTGCTGATATTTCTCGAGCTATTCATTCAGCTGGTAGGGAGCAGCTCTCTGAAGCGAATCGTCATAAGAGACACTTGGAGGCTAACGCTCAAGGAAAGGTCGGCAAAGGAGTATATTTGAAGCCGTAGGTAGGTACCGAAAAGGGCTCGGCATTTATTTGAAGCTGCAAAATTCAAAAAAACCACCAGGGTTACCTCGAAGGTCATTGACAGACATCGATTTATCACAATTAATAGAGAAAATGGGTGTACCAAACTTTCGAGGTATATTTATGAGAGATATTATCTGCCAAATCCTCGACCGCGTCACGATATAATCAGCCATTCTGAATCTCAATAGTATTCGAGGTAGAGGGATACATTAGGTTGCATATAAAGAATGTGGCGGGGTGATGGAATATTATGATAGTTATGGCGATTTGCCGCAACCTGAAGAGTTGGTGAAATGTATGTATAGTGTAATTAGTTCAAAATGCCCTTAGCTCTTTGAATTATTGAGCAATGACCCAGCTAACAATGCGATGTCGCATGAACATCTATATGACATCGCATGAATACTGCGACATTGAATCAAGTTGTCGCATAGACATCACGGGGACGTACTTTTGTCACACTCATTTGGATGTCGTATCAATATCGCACCGCGATGTCTGAGGAATATCGCATCATGATGCCACAGAAATATCCCATTTTGATGTCCCTGATCTATGACTATGTATACCTAATAGATGGTTCAATGCAGAATGAGATATGTTGAATTCATTGACCCAAGATCTCATGGATATCAAAAAGGTATCAAAAACTTTCAGAACAGGCTGTTCTCTATAGTTTCATGATCGAATCATCATTATTTTCTCATTGTGTGAAAACTCTCCACCAATCTGATGAGTATCAATCGAGATATCATTAATTTCCTCTTCATCACTGGAGTCATCACTAGATGAACTTTCTTTGCTAAACTGATTTATTGGATTTATACCCATGTTATATCTGTTTTAAAATATATATTTTCAATGTCATTATTTATCAATCGTCTCTTGTGGCGGTAGGAAGTACTAGAGAACAGTCTCTTTGGCATGACTCCACAAAAATGAATAGAGGTCCCTATAGAATCATATAAATTCAAGAAATGGTATATTATACAAAAAGGTATACACAATACTTACTATAATGTGCTATAATTTGATCCAGTTTCAAACGATGAAATTAATCCTAATCTAATCACATTAAATCAAGATTATTAATTGCTGCAAAATTAGTTGCTTGCAGGGAAAACCAAAACCCCTAGTTTATTCAGTCTCTTCTGTGGTTTAATAAAACATACTGTGAACTGTGATAAAACGCAAGGAGAACGTAGTAGTTGATTTGATTTGGCAGTTGACGCGTTGGCGTTGACACTTGACGGGTAAAAATTAAGTTATGAAACAAACAAGAGTCACCGATTGCACAGAATAACAGAACAGTCAGAATGTGTGAAGATGCAATGTAACATAGATGTGCAAATCACATTTACACGTCTATGTGACATCATTGGCTGATGTTCAATTGAGGTCCCTAATAGAGGTCACATCAATATCTTTATATTTTGGTGATATCCCAGAGATATTCGTGTCCTCGCATTGTTAGCTGGGGAGATTCCTGTAAGCGATTTTTGTGCTATCAGGATGGAATTCTGATTGCTAAGTGAAATGGGCGCCCAGTCTATTTTTGTGGTAAAAATATAGACAAAGAAAGAAATACTAGATAAAGATAATTACATTT